GGACCCTGAGCAGCTCAGAACGCCTGATAACCTGTTCTGGATCTACGCACTGCAGATCATTGAGATAAAAAATCAAACACAGGAGTTTACGATGGGGCCGGACCGCATGATCTATGGCACTATGACCCAGTTCCTCCATCTCGATATACAGGTTGTTCCGGAATCAAACGGACGCTTTGTCACAACAAAGCACGATAAAACACGAGCTTTGGAATTCATGCCAGTGAGATATGTTAGATATGATTCCAACAGGCCAATCAAGCAATCAGTTAACGTGATTATCTCCCAGTCTGCAATGATCATGCTTTTAACCTCTTTTCTCGTCCATGCTGCTAAGGACATTAAGAGATTGATTGATGCCATGGTAGGAAATGTTTTTTTTGAAATCGAAATGCATTGCGAAGGCTTACATTATCCTTGACCAGCCGCACCTGTTCCAGACTTATCGGTGTTGCCATCTGAAAACCAAACGACTTCTTAAGGTACGTCTTCCCTTTCTATCCTTTGCCATCGGGCAGTACGTCAACAAGTAACGATAGGTGAGTGGTGTTTAATCTGTGGGTGTGTGCTGTGTCCCCTCATATTGAATGCCACTGGATGAGCGTTAATGAGGGGGAAGTCGGGGGAGCCTTGACCCAGAGGGTCACGGCTACCCCCTGACCCTCTCAGTCGGGCTCCTCCAGCGGGTTAGGGGTGGGCCACACACACACACACACACACACACACACCCACACGCATTCAAAAAAAAGGGGGGTGCTTATTATAATATATGTTTGTATATATATAAAAAAAAAGGGGGTGGAAGAGAGAAGATTGGAAAAGTTGAGCCTCCGGGCCTAGTGCATGAAGCATTGCCTAGTTCACCCTTTTTAGGACCTTCGGACTATAGGGGGAGGAGTAATATAGCGAGAGTTTTGTTTTTCTCGTGTCTCACTGGGCCCATGAAACGAGCATTTGGGGTCGAACCCGGTACCTATTGAAGGTAACATGTTCGTGTACGAGACGGTGAATGGAGGGAGTCTGGTGGCGCAGTGGGGCAGAAAAAATGGAAAGCGCGTGGGTCCCACACGAAACCGGTCCTTACGATATGTACCGGGGCATCCAATGTATGTGGAGGGACTC